TATATTATTATTTATATATTATATTCGCGGTACTTATTAGAAAGCGCTCAATATCAGAGTTAACACACATATATATATATATATACATATATATATATTATAGTTGGGATAAATATTATTATAGATGGGATATATATTATTATTTACGCCATCCTTTTTTCTGTGGGAATTCCAATAAAATCAGTAAATACAATCATTTTCTGTTTGTGACGATTATAAATAGTCACATATTTTTTGTCACTTCACCTCAAAATCTACATCGAGAAGTGCAAATTTTGCTCAAATGTATGCAGTTGCCTTCATGAGAGATAACAACTAGTTAGATCTTATTCCCCACCCTCTTCTGCAATTTATTATATAATACTAGACAACTTTGGCACTTTATGAAAAGTATTTTAATAGTAAAAGTGGATGAGCGAAAAGGAAACATTTATTATTTTAAAAGTGCTGTAGAGTTTATTCTGGCTGAGAGGAATCACTTTCACCAAAACACGTCTCACCCATAAGAGCACGCATATATATATATATATATATATATATATATATATAAAACAAAAATATTGGCTCTATTTTGGCAAATATTTTTCCTTTATACAAATTTGGTTAAAGCGCAAGTTCTTTGTTGAAGATTATATATAAAATGGTGCGATAGTTAAATTGTTGGCATGTTATATTTTTAATTTCGCGCATGCGCGTTATTTTGATTTTTTTTCGACTGCACAAAGGTCACCGTCTTCGCGAAAAAGAGTTCCATGACGCAATTCATTTCACCAGATATTTGTAAACGGTATTTTGTACTGCTTGGAATAGGCACCGGGAGTTCAATACGAACATTTCAGAGTTTTTGTGTGTCAATCTGAGGTCAGTGCGGAGGATTCGGAAAGGGGTGGACGAGTCTAATAGTAATTATGAAGGTTTTTGGAGTGAGCACTAGTCATGGTGACGTTATGCCTCCATTTATCTTCCCACAGCGACTCAGACTCAAAACGGAGGCCTACATCAAGTATCTTGAGGAGGTTGTGCTTCCCTTGGTTAAAAGGTTGGCTGCTGGAAGACTCTGTGTCTGACGACAGAACTTTACCCCATACCACACAATCAGGAGATCCCAGTCATGGCCATCAGACAATTTCTGCGACCACATCACCCCTTATATCTGGCCACCTACCGTCCTAGACTGCAACCTCTTGGATTATTATGTGTGGTAGCAGTTGAACGAGAGATAAAAAAAAAAACTCCCTCTAACACCAAAGATAAACTGAAGACAACGATTATGGCAGCATTCACCAACTTAAACAAGGAGACCGTCCTGAAGAGATGCTGGAGATTCTGAAGTTGTCTTGAGATCGTGGCCGAATTCAATCTCGATTTTATTGAATAAATTTACTTTTTACTATTCCAAGATATTTGTGTGTAATTTTTTCTAAGCTCTATGATTTTTAAAAGTTAAACTTAGTTGGAGAGACTTGTGTGACTATGTCATGATTTGTTTTCGCATTTCTTTCATCCATCAGATCCATCGAATGTCATCCGATATTCCTTTAGAAAAGACAATTTTTCTGTATTTCCTGGCTCAATTTTGATGCTTTAATATATATGCTTTAGTGAGAAGAGATTTCTTAACAGATATTAATTTGTCAAGTATTCTACGCCATTTTTTTTTATGTCTTCAATTCCAGCACACTTAAAGAACTGAGCATTGGACAATGGTCAACACGATTTTTGGTGCCAAGAAACAAAACACATTTTTTAGCTAATTTGTTCGTGCTGATTCCGAAAATGACCTTAGTTTTTCATGGAGAGGTACCGTTTTTGCTGTACTGAAATTACTCATTTTGGGAAAAAAAAGATCAATTTATGATCTTCGCTGAACGCAAAATTTAGTGAATAAAGGTCGAAGAAACCCATCAATTTCCAGGTAAGCCTAGCAATTTATGTCAGCCACCCGAAAAAAATCTTTTTTATAAGATAAAAAGTGTTTTTGAGTCAAACATTTGGAAATAAAAGTAACGAATTTTACCAATTTATCGCCAATAATCGAATTAACTGATTAACTTTAGTACACTTTAGTAAAGCTGATAATTAAGGTGACATGAAAAGAAATGAAACTGTAAAATCTTCTGTTTGATATTCATAAATTTATCCGATCACTTTTATCTTTTCACTGCGAAAGAAAACCAAGCACATTGAGAGCATTTTGTTTTCACAGTTGGAAAGAAACTCCAACTAAAGACATCTCAATTTAATGCACCTATTCTATTGTAAATGATACTGCTGGAATATCAAAAGGGATTTAAATAACATTGAACATGACAGACAATCAAGAAAGAGAAAAATTTTACCATAATTCTTATGTTCACGAAGGTTATATTTCTGCTGTTAGTTTATTAAATGATTTGATGAAAATACTTGTTGGTCTTGGTATATTCAATGGTGTTATTTTTATAGACTTAGGGCTTGATTGTTATTGCAAAAATAGTTTTTCTTAATAAGCAGACGAAATTTGTTGGTTTAAATACGAATTGAGAGGTTTCTACGATTTTATTTTGAGAAATATTGCCATCGGTCAATATCATATATACAGAAAACTGATGAAAAATTCTTTTTTTCCAAAAATGAGGCATTCTTATAAAGCAAAAACGGTAGCTAACCAAGAAAAAGTAAGGTCATTTTCAGATTCAGTGCCCTCCAATTAGCTAAAAAAGATCTTTGGTGTCTCGACACCATTTCAAAAATTTTTTGTTTACCAGTGTAATCAAAAGTCGTTCTTTCGCTATAACTTGCTTTAGTTAATGTTCCCTCAATGATACAGGTTCTTAAAACCTTTTTTTCTTTGCTTCTAATTCTCAGGTTTGTTATATTTTCAACAGCATTCTTTATGATTCGATTATCGCTGTGAAGTTCCTTTGATATCTCCAATGTGTACATTCCCTCACAATAATTAAATGTTGAATTTGTTAGCGCCTTTCCACTATCCATGTTTCAAAATATGTTATGGGAAAAAGAAAAAAAATGTTTATAATAGATTTTAGATGACTTAAACTAATATTAGTTTAATCTGCGTTATAATTTCAGAAACTTTTTTTTAATTTATTCACCCCAAACATGACGATAAAGCCACTAAGATGCAAGGGGCTACTGGATGTGAAAAAGAAGGAAAAGACTTTAGATGGAACCAGAAAACCAATCTTAAACAGTAAACAAGGGTCACTTGCATTATTTACATTATTCGGACTGTTATCCTCATCTTCATTGCCATATTCACAACGTTTCGGCCGTTGGACGCTCCGGTCTTCGTCAGGTGATTGGAATTTCGAAACCAACCCTTTATTTCGTCCACCGGGGTAGATTGTTCTACTTCCACGTGCCTCAAGTACAAATCGCCCAGTGGAGAAAGACGTTGCTTAGATCCAGTGACTAGACTCAAAGCGTTGTGAGTTCAATTCAAGGCCACAGCAGTGGTGAACCAAAAACATGGAGAGTTGATTTAAAGGGAAATAACTGAGAGATCCGGCGTGGCACGTGGAACTAGAATAATTTACCCCTGTAGACGAAATAAAGGGTTTGGTTCAAAATTTCAATCACCTGAAGAAGGCCGGAGCGTTCAACGGACGAAACGTTGTGAATATGGTAATGAAGTTGAAGTAAACGGACCTAATATTGTGAATAATGTAAGTAATCATAATACCTCATCTCAGAGATATAGCGGCCGAAACGTTGTGAATATGGCAATGAAGTTGAAGTAAACGGACCTAATATTGTGAATAATGTCATAATACCTCATCTCAGAGATATAGCGGCCGAAACGTTGTGAATATGGCAATGAAGTTGAAGTAAACGGACCTAATATTGTGAATAATGTAAGTAATCATAATACCTCATCTCAGAGATATAGCGGCCGAAACGTTGTGAATATGGCAATGAAGATGATGGTAACAGTCTGAATAATAAATAAGTATCTCAAGATATAGGCAAAATTTGGATCATGGCAATAACTCATCTAACAGTCCGAATAATGTAAATAAGGCAAAGGATCATAATAACTCATCTCAGAGATATAGTCAGATAGGAAACAAGGGATAAACTTCTACTTTTTTCAAAAGAACGGACAGGAGTATGAACCGGGCGTTTTTATTTAATCTCAGAGGGCAGATTTTTTTTTTCTCATGCCACTGTCCGTGTTTGTACATGTCACGTCTTGTTCTTTTATTCGTTCTGTTCAGTTAGTGTTCATCCCATTTCCACTGATTCTATATCTGTCTAACCGGGCCAGGGATTGAACTCACTTTTTAAATTGCCACGAACCTTTTCTGATATTTGCTTGCACCTACTGACATAATATTCAGTTTTACATTATCTGTATTACCAGATTAAATTGATTGTGGAAATAGAAAGGACATTTTACTGCCAGCTGTTGAACTTGTATATACTATCAGTCCTTCTATATGACAATGAATGCTGGACAATTGAATCACTGAGGAAGAAGATACCTTTTTTTTTTCACAGAAGGATGCTACGAACATGTGAATAACGCGGAAATTTTAATGAAAAAGGAAACAAAATGAACACTTATTCTTCGGATCAGAAAGATAAAGTTAACATTTTGAGTGTACATAATGAGGAAAGAGGGTTTGGAGAATTTGACCCTCACAGGACATATTGAAGAAGAAGAGAATGATCAACCTACCTAAGGGGTTTGTGCAAATAGATGGCAGAACAGAGACAGGAAGGCGATGGGATATAAAAAGAAAAAAATCTTTTAAGAACTACAAAGGATAGGAAATTGTGGAGAGCCATGATCGCTCATGCCCTGAAGGAACGTATTACATAAAAAATATTTTTTTATGAAAATAAAATAAAGTTTGCAGATTCCTACAAAAATATCTTTAAAATATGTATGTAAAATCTTCAAGTGATCTTTTCGATTCAGACATTTTTCAGATTTCCCTAGCATTGTGAAAATATATGATGCTGTAAATATTTGCATCAGCTTAATGAACAAGCTACATAAAAAACAACACAGAGAGAGAGAGAGAGAGATTATTCCAGAGAGAGAGAGAATGAATGAAAAGAGAGAGAAGCTTGTAAATAGGAGGTAGAGAGAAAAAGATATAAAAGAACGTCACCATGAAAGGAAAGAAAGAAATGGAAAGAGAGATAGAGAAGATTGAAGGAGGAGAGAGAAAGAGATAGAAAGAAAAAGAGAGACGATAGACGGAGGAGGGATAGAAAGAGATAGAAAGAGAGGAAGGAAATGGATAGAAGAGTGAGAAAGAGATAGAAAAGAAAGGGAAAACATAGAATGAGGAGAGAGAGAAAGAGATAGAAAGAGAGATGGGGAAGATAAAGGGAGGAAAGAGATAGATAAAGAGGGGGAAGATAGAAGGAGGACAGAGATAGAGAAACAGATAGAAAGAGAGGAAGATAGCGGTATGAAAGGTATGAGAGAGAAAGAGACAGAAAGGAAATGTGAAGATAGAGGGAGGAGAGAGACAGAGATAGAAAGAGAAAGGAAGAAGATAGAGGGGGGAATGGAAAAACAATTGAAAGAGAGGGAGAAAATAGAGAGAGGAGAGAGAGAGTAACTGAGATAGAAAGTTTTAGAAGATAGAGAAGGAGAGAAAAAAAGAGCTTTTTCCTGTTTTCTATTTTTTCCCTTTATCTTCTCCTCTCACTTTTATCTCAGAATTAATTTTCTCTTTCTCTATTTTATCTTTCTAAATATATAAAGGAATATTTTTATAAGAGAGATATGAGAGAGATATTTAGTGGTAGAAATAGAGGGAAAAAGAAAGAATATAGGGGCAGAGAAAAGGATATAAAGAAATTTCATTTTTTTTTTTATTTTAACAGGTGTTCAGAAAGATTACCCCAAGATAGGGGGAGATACTAAAATAGTAGAGGGTTACTGGAAGTGAGAGATGAGAGAGAATTTAGATAGAAAAGGGCAAAAGAAATAGAAAAAAGGTAGAAAGAGAAAAGATGGCGATTGACGTTGTAAGACAATTTTGAAGATCGTAGGTGACAGGGAAAGAAAGGAATAGAAAGAGAGCGGTCCATGACGAGAAGAGCGAGAAAAGATAGAAATAGATAATAGAAAAGGAAAGATAAAAACTATAGAGAAAATTGCATAGAAAGATGAGAATAAGATTTATTAGGAAAATCAATGAATAGAAAGGAGAGAAGATACAGGATTCCGTTAAAATATTTAGTAAAAAAAACCAGGAAGATGGAAATACATGACCCGAAGAAAAAAATGCCAAAGTCATGGATTTGGAAGAAGGAGGAGAATCTTCAGATATAGAAAAAGAGAGAGACCACCAATGGTCGAAAGATTCAAAGAAAACGGGAGGGTAGGAGATAGAGGAGGAGAGAGATAAAGAACTGTGTCCTGATGGACAAAATGGAAGGAGAAGGGAGAGGAAGAGATAGAAAGAGAGATGGACGATCCCCAGACGAGTTAGGGAGAGACTTTGATCTCTAAAGTTGGAGGAGAGAGAAAGAGATAGAAAGAGAGAGGAAGAAGATAGAGGGTCCATTAGAAAGACAGAAAAAACAGAAAGAGAACCTGAGAAGATAACGATAAGATGAGAAATAGAGAAAGTTATAAAAGAGAGAAAATGAGAAAAAAAAGCGAGGGGAGAGAGAAAGAAATAGAAAGAAGAGGAGAAGATGGAGGAGGAGAGAGATAGAAATAATAATAATAATAAAGATAAAGAGATAGATAGAATAAATAGATTGATAGAGAGGGAGAAGATAGAGAGAGGAGAAAGAGAGAAAGATATAGAAAGAGAGGGAGAGAATAGCGGAAGGTGAGAGAGAGAGAAGAATAAAGATAAAAGAAAAAGAGGTTCTGTACAGGACAAAAAAAAAGTAAAAAACCGTGTTGACTTGATCAGAAATTGAAGACTTCCTTCATATGCCACCCGCAATTAAATCCATCATTCAAATATTTTCAACTACAAACTGTGATACGCCAAGTCATTCAGATTTATGAACTTGATGTTTACAACACGTTCCAGAAAGCCATTTTGTTTTTAACTTCCCTGTTCCTTCATTCTCCACCTCCCACGCGCATGCGCACACACACAAAAATCTTTTTTTTTTCTAACCACAAAGAATCTTTAACATCCCGTCCAACCTACACCAATGTTTACGTTCTGGCGACTGGCAATATTAAAGATTCAGGTCACAAATTATTTTCAAACTATCATTTCGTCATGCACTGTAATTATATAATTCAGCTTCCATAGAAAGGGCTACCACAGAAAATGTTCACGTTAAAGAAGAAAAATGATGAAGAATGTGGTTTCAATTTTTTTCTCCTCTCTGTTACCCAACATGTGTTTTCATTGATTAATGCATACATTTTAAAGGTTTATTTAGATGTGCTGGTAATGTGCAGACTTTTGTGGCAGTTATTAAAAGATCAATACATTCTAGCTGTATTAAATGAATTTTCAAACTAATTCAACTAAACAGACTTGGAATTATGAGTTGTTGCTGGATTTTTTATCGGTTTGTTTTTGTGTTTATATTCAATAAGAACATATAGTTCTGGAAATGATTTGATTGGTGAAGGCATGTCAGAGCTTCTATGAACCTGCGTGAGTAGAGGCATTCCTTTGGCTTTAAGTGAATCATGCTTGATAGACGAATCTTAACAAATTGTTTACTAGTGTTTACAATTTCATCACAATCAGTGAATATTTAACTTGCCACGAGTTAATTAATTCGAACGCATCCAATATCATTGAAACATAGAGAAATAGGTAGGCGGGGAACGGACGAATGGAGATAAAAGATAGACAATAAAACAATAATATATATATTGTTTACCATGCAAAAATGTTTATGCGGGTGAAACATCACGTGACCTAAAAGTCCGCATTTACGAACACAAGAGAGACTTGCGTCTGGACAAACAATCTAACTCTTTCGTTTTGCCGCGAAACGATACTGGACATAAATGTGATTTCACGAATGCCATTCTAATTAAAAAGAATATAATTCTTTAAGGATAAAATACATTGAAAACCTAATAATAATATTAGTACCATCTAAAAACATTAGATCACATCGCCATCTTTCTTTGAATCCATTCTTAAAGAATCTAACATATCTAATACAAGGTGTATATGAGTAAAGAGATCCGCCATAAATTAGAACCACGTGACTATCTTCTCCCTTTCACTTTCTATCTCTATCTCTCTCCTCCCTCTATCTTCACATGATCTTTCTATCTTGACTGCACAAAGGTGAAAACACCAGAACTCCCATTAGACAGATACACAATCACGAATACACATTATCACCCGATGCCCACTTAGACATACAAGAATCTTCAGAAACTTACATGCATATAAAATAATCTATGGATTTAATACACGTGACAATTGTCTGACCAATGAGAACTGACAAAAACAAAATAGAAAATACCTGTGACGTCGCCCCTCCTTGGTCGCAGCGTCGACTCTGTCGTTCGATCTCGTTCGTCGCTCCAACTGTGACGTGACGTGATGTGGCCGTCGGGTCGATCCTTGTCACGGACAGCACCAGTTGTGACGTTTTTTTTGCCGCGGCGTCAGCTGTTCGCTCCTCGCTGCTCCAAGTGTGACGTTCCAACCCTTTGGTTAGATGATTACCAGCCTCGCCGTTCCCAACTCGCTTCCAACACCTGGTTACTAGGGTAACTGTACTGATCTCCGGTCTGCCTACCCACGTTGTGATTAGATCTTAGACAGACGGGATCAAACAGGATTCGGGGCCGTATGCCAGCTGGGTTCAACGGGGTGGCAACACACAAGTAAAAGAAAAAAAAAACTCACGAGGCAAAAAATTACTGATAAAAAAGGGTAACAACCTTTTATATCTAATGTTCGTTACATAAAAATTATTCTTACTTTCCGACCCGTTTTGTGGACTGTGACACCAAGCTTCTGTCATACAATTTAAAGACTTCGAGTTGCCAATTCTCTAGAATTTTGTATGTCGGAGTGTGGTTTGGTTTCGACACTGGGCGCTAATCTCTACCAGTCGTTCACGGCTGATTCTTCTCTTCGGCTTGAGTTGGACGAGCTTATTCGCTTCGGCTTGAGTTGGACGTATTTCTTCACTTCGATTTGGGTTGGACGAATTTCCACCCTCAGGCTTGGCCTGGTTTCAACTTCTTCTAGACGCAACTGCAAGTAACTTCTTCTTCTTCCGTCCTGCAACTCTTCTCGCCAAGGTCCGAACTCTTCTCTCTGCCGTCTGAGGTGAACTCTTCTCTCTGCCTTCCGGGGCTGAACTGTTCTGCTTGTTTGGCCTGCAACTTTATTGCCTGTCTGGCCTGCAGCTCTTCTGCTGGTCTGGCCTGCAGCTCTTCTTATCTTTTGCAATTCTTCTGCCTGCAGCCTCAGCTCTTCTGCCTATCTGGCCTGCAATTCTTCGGCCTGTCTGGCCTGCAGCTCTTCTGCCTATCTGGCCTGCAATTCTTCGGCCTGTCTGGCCTGCAATTCTGCTCCAACTTCTCTGCGGCTTTCGAGCAATTTTCTTCTCTTCGACTTGGCTGCAACTTCTCTGCCTGTCCGGGCCAAACGGACCGACCCTTCTTGCCCGCAAGGGGCGAATGAGCAGGGCCCGCCGTCCGCTCTCCAACTGCTCTGGCAGTCTACCCCGCAACTCTCTGATTTCTGTCGATTGGGGTTCTGCTTTTATTGACGCCGCAACAAACTGGGGTGGGTCTGTCGGCGTCAGGGTTTCTTGATAATTCCAAAAGTCGCATTAGTTCTGATTTCCCATTATCGCTCTTATTTTCACCCCTACTTCCTCACAGTGCCTCTGGGGGGAGGCGCATACCCATCTCTCCCGGTCTCTCGTATGTCAGGTGACCGTTTTCGACCAATGGGTCCTGGTCGAGCGTCCTTTCTCCTCTTTCTCGCATATCACGTGACCGCTTTCGGCTAATGAGATTCTGGTTGGGCGTCTCCCGTCCTTCGTGACGTCTCCAATCGGGCGTGGTCTATCCCGGCTTTGTTCTGGGAAAGAACCACCTTGCTAAAAAAAACAAAATCCAATTTGGCCTTTTTTTGCACGCACGAAAAATGACAATCTCGGCCTTTCTCACCTTTTGGTTTTTGTCAAAACAGCCCGCCGCTAATTAGATGTGACTTCAGGAAGAATTTTTCTCGTCTCGCTGGCGCTTTCTGTGAGCCAAAACAATTGTTTTCATTCCTTTATTTTCGTTCAGGCCTGACAGTTAAAATCTTAATTATCTGAATTGAAAATATCCTCACTTCATCATCGTGGGGTTCTAATCTTCAACAGGTCAGGATCTGTATACAATTCCAGCGGTCACCTTCTCATCCCAAAGACACCCCCTTTCCGATTAATATTTCGTTTTCCATTGTTCTAAAAATCCCATTTCTCCAAATTGATAATGAGCTTCTTTTCCGTGGACACAAAAGTAGGCCAGATGTTTTGACCGATATTTTTATCAATCGTACGTATGTTCATCCACTTTTACCATGTCTGTTTTCATTATCTTTTAATTACTAAAATTCTATTCTTTCAAATAACAATTTCCATTGTTCTTGAAATTCGGTCAGGCGCGTTGGCCTAGATATCTCTTGACACCTGTTTTCGCTTATGACCGGCTTTTTGCATTACCCATCTCTCCCTCTCTTTCTTTTCTTTTCTTTTTCTTTTTTTTCTTCTTTTTCCTTTCTTCTTATTCCCTTAGGGTCGCCTAAATACAATTAGAGAATTATTCTCAAAACTCAATTATTCTTCGTCTAAATAACTAACAACTGGTTAATAAACCGAATATTAAATATGTTTCTATGAATATTTCTTTTATCATATTTTGATCTACAATTTGAATATTTTAAAAGTGTTTTTTATATTTGTTCTTTATTTTATCAACTTGTCGGATTCTATCTATTTGATCTATTTGACAAAGATATATAGATCTATCTATTTGATGCAATATATCTCTATATCTAAACCATTTCTGTTCATATCTATCTATCTATCTATCTATCTATCTATCTCAGAATCTCAGTCTGTTCACATCGAAAGGTAAATCTATTACCTAGAAATTTTTACCCTAATGATACAATGATAGGGAAGTGTCATCAAACAGTGAAAAATTCACCGCCGACCCTACACAAGTATGCAAAAGGCAGATAAAGGGAGGCGAGGGTTATTTCACGTCGTCTCATGTCACGACTTAAACGAGACGCCACGAAGAACCCTGGACTTACCAGTCAAGAGCTTTTCAGTCGTATTGGGGATCCTACTGTGTCTAAAATCAATCTATGAATGCTATTGGTACCATGTAGCCCAATATTGTCTACTGCATGATTAGGTTATCGGTTACTAAGCACTTTTTCCCCACCAGGCTTTTTTGATGAGCAAGCAGGGATAGACACCAAAACGGATTAAAAAGAAGAGCAGTGAATCTTCTTGTATGATCAATGATCATCTAGGACAATGGATGAGACTGGGCACTATCGTTACGTATCAATCCTGTTCGATGATAACCCTACTTTACTGGGTGGAGGGATTCCTATTAGGCTGATGTTAATGGCCAGAGCGGAGGGCTCCGCGATGGAATCAACGATCACGTGCAAGTGACCAACGTAAGTTTTTAATATGGAGGACACCGGCCGCAGTAGATAGAACAAAATTACCAGATCTATTTGCCCAAGACACGCCTTCAATCGAGATATATGGAAAGAACTGATCAGGTTTTCAGCTGCACAGCGGCCCTACGACCACACCCGGTCATAGGACTAAGGACAATGATGGCGATGACCACATTTTTTTTAAATCGCTCTAATCATGTTATATTTAAACCGCTTAATTCACTACCATCAACAATTTTGAAACTTTATTTCATCCAGCCACTCATCAACGACAATAAACTTGCGTATGACGATAAACTACATCTGGTAACAAGACTACTGATTTGGAGATTGGAGGATTTGAGAAGCGTGGAGCCACTTTTAAATTGCTGTTCTTCCCAGGTCCACCTGACCCAGGGTGGTAGCACCTGTTAGGGTCCCAGCTATGGGCAAATAATTATTCCTGGAACAAGAACAAAACACTATGATAGTATAAAAATACTTTTTATAGCAAAAATACCAGTAATACATATATATATATATATATATATATATATATGAATTACCAACAATGTACCGTAGTTTCCCATGTATAATACGTCTTCATCCATAATACGCACACCTAAAATTGTGCTGAAAGCGTGGGAAAATGCTTCTACACATGAATAATACGCACCCCCTGTTTGGTAATCAAACCCTATAAATTATACCTCTTCAATTTCATTACAGCCAGGTTTTAAACATAGAATAATATTATTCTAATTTAGTTTTATGATAAATCATATAATTTTATCATAAGTCATAATTTGTAAGCATTGCTAGGTCCATATGATTGTATTTGACATTCTTATGGATTCGCAATCGTCGAATATTAGTGTCAAATTGTCGTATGTTTGTGGTGAGTAGTCATTTCGCAACTGAAATCGACCTATGAAACGGCAATTTTTAAAGATATTTTTCTAGTTGTGCATAATACGCATTCCTAATTTTGCTTATTAATTTTTTTAGAAAAGAATGCGTATTATACATAGGGGAATTACGGTATTTTCTGTAGTTGAAGGTATACAACTGCGTTCAAAATATATTTAATTGAGGCTATAAAATTATGTTCAAAATACTTAGAATTTGGCATTAAATAACCCACAGAGATGTTGATATGTCACTTATCAAATTCAACCAACATTAATCCAGTCATTGAAGATATTTTCGAGTTTTGTTTTAAATTTCAGCATTCATTCAACGATATAAATTTAACTTGTCTTTTTAGCTGATGATTAAAAATATATATATATAAAAATTCTGGCGTAGACATTGTCCAATAACAATGAGCGATAGGAATGTTTCTGTTTCAAAATCGACTGCAGGAACAAAAAGTGTTCATTGAAGAACTGTGCAATTTTAAATGACAATTTAGATCCAAAATAGCTGCTTATTTACTCCTTTAGTTTTATGACGTACGGTGGCCGTTACTAATTAATTAAAACTCATGATTTCAATGTTAAGATAAAACAGTATTTAATTACAACCGCAAAAAAATACTTAACAAGAACAAAGAAATAAATGTCAGCCAAATATAATTAACCATTTCAGTGAATACCTTGTTAGTAGCAGGGCTCGGATTAACGTCAGGTAAATCCTAAATCAAAACCCAAATCATCAACGAACAAAAACATCGCGAATATAGACTGCAACGACAAAAGTGCCTTGTTATTGATATGGCATCTTGCAGACTGCTATGTACCTTTGAAGACATTTATAAAGGATCTTTAAGTGGAAATCTCAATAATGTGATAGACATCAGTAATTCCAGTTGTAGTTAGAGCACTCGGATTGATTGGGAAAAATTCCAACAGACTCATAAAAGGGATTCATGGTTGCCCATGCCTTAAAGAAATACAAAAAAATGTTCTCACAAGTACTGCCCACACCTTACGAAGGGCTTTATCTATGCAAAATATGTGTGATTTTTTTAAACTGCTAAGTGGAAAATGTCATGATGCCATTCTTACCTTAGGTGTCTGGAAAGAAATGAGTCTACACCAGAAATTAAAGTAAATAATAATAATAACTGAAAGTGTGTAGTTGACAAAACTGCTTGGAATTGGTCATGTGCTAAAGAAAGCTTTGTGCATCAAAACTATGGATAGAAGTTGCGATATATTCGCCATCACTCAGCCGAAACATCAAATATTTAGAGAGTACTTCCACGAATAATAATAATAATAATTGTGTCAGCCCAAAATGCAGATTCTGTTATAAATATCCAGAAACGATTGATCATCTTGTATCAGGTTGTACGGTGTTGGCACCCACTGAATATAAAACCCGACATGACAGAGTGGGCAAATATCTGCACTGGAAAATCTGAAACTTCTACGGGAAGAAAACTGAAAGAAACTGGTATGAACACCAACCAGACCCGGTTACGGAGATAGGACCTGTTACAATTCTATGGGACTACACAATACACACTGACAGAATAATCAAGGCCAACCGCCCAGATATTGTTATTAAAGACCACAAACAAAAAAAAAATACTCCTTATTTATATGACAGTCCCTGTAGACTGCAATGTGTCTTTGAAGATATTCAAAAAAGTGTCAAAATACAAGGACCTTGAAATAGAAATCTCGAAAATGTTATTTGAGATAAAAAAAAAATGTTCTGACAAGTTCCTGACAAGAAGATAAAATTGACAAGTACTTAACGAAGGGCTTTATCTATGTAATTTTTTTTTTTTTCAGTGGGAAAGTGTCATGACGCCATTTCTAACTTTAGGTCCCTAAAAATGAACCCCAGAAAGAAATAAAAACGCCAGAAATCAAAGAAAATAATAATAATAATAATAATACATGTCTATATTTCTGAGATGAGATATTATGCACACTATTTACATTATTCGGACTATTGTCCTCATGTTTGTCGCCATATTTATTACAACATATAACATCAGGACAACCTTCAGAAGCTTGACGACATTTCGCATATATCTCTCCTGGGTAAGATTTCCCATAGAGAAGAACATGACTAAAGACTGTGTGTACGTTATCCCGTGCCGCTGCGGAAAGACATGTAAAGGGGAGACAGGCCGCCCCCTTAAGGTAAGGCTTCAAGAAAACCAGAAAGCTGTAACACGAGGGGAAGACTAAAAAATCAGGCATGGCTGACATATTTATGGAGAGAATTAAATCACCGCCTCTGTGGGATCAAGTTGAGATCATTGAACAAGGAAACCATTGGAAAATTCATCAAATTGAGGAATCAGCACATATGTTGTTAGCCACAAAAATCTGAGCCGACCAAGCATAGAAATGAATACAATATGGGAACCAGTAATAAGGAGTGCTAGAGAAAATTTTAATAACAATAAAATAGCAATATGAGCTCTGGTAAAAACATGAAATGATAAGAGCAAAAATTTTATAAAAAAATAATACTCAAAAATGAAATTCATTACATAAAATGTCCTTTTTAGGACACATGACACATGTGGATAAAAAGCGTTAGTTAGATCCAGTGACAGGACCTAAAGATATAGTTCAATACCCGGTTAAGGCAGTGGAGAATTTTTCAAAAGGGAAATTAACAGGAGATAACTGATAACTGACATCCATTAAACATAAACGTGGAACTAGTTCAGTGAGTGAAATAAAAGGTTAAGTTCGAAATTTCAAAAACCTGAAGAAGGCCGGAGCGTACAACGGCCCGAAACGTTGTAATAAATATGTGACAAAGATAAGGAGAATAGTCCGAATAATAATAATAATAATAATAATAATAATAAAGTGAACTCCTAATTATCAGCTGCGTACTTTTATCAAGTGTTGGACTAAGGGTATGTAAAAAATGAAAATACTTTTTGTGACATACTAATATATAACATAATGTAATTAAAGTCTTTATGTGTAACTGAAATAAGCCTTGAAATAAAGATCTGTAAAAGATGAAAATACTTTTCACACACCTTAATACGAAGAAAGAAATGCCGTAAACTTAATCCAAATAAATGATTTTTTTTTACCGATGAAATTAAAAAGAATGATTCACAAATTCAAAATTGTTCTAATACAGGGTGCGATGGATATATTGTCGTCTAAAATACGCAAAAATGAAAATAAAACTGACATTTTATTTTAACATATATATTTAGAAAAATTACACAAAAATATCTTGAAATACTAAAGAGTAAATTTATTCAATAAAATCGCCATTGGCTTCAATTACAGCCTCCAGAAAACTTCAGAATCTAAATCAGCTCTTCTGGACGGTTTCTCTGTTTAAGTTGGTGAATGCTGCCATAATCAGTGCCTTCAGTTTTCTCTTTGGAGTTACAAAAAGTTTTGTCGGTCCCTTGCTCAACTGCACTCCACACATAATAATCAAGGGTGTTGAAATCTAGAGAGTTAGGTGGCCAGGTGTAAGTGGTGATGTGATCGCAGAAATTGTCTAACAGCCA